TCTCTCTCTCTCTCTCTCTCTCTCTCTCTCTATCTCTCTGCATGGATGGAATCTTTTGCACGATGATCGCGAGAATGATAAACATATCGTAGCGAGTTTTTGATCGAAATGCCACGAGCTGCATGAATAGTTTCTTTTTTTTTTTTTTTTTTTCTTTCGCACAACTTGAGCGAGAAATTCCCAAATTTCTAAATCCTTCGTAATATTAATTTAATTAATATCCGCGCTGCTAACGATTTTTCTGTGCCGATAAATATTCGCGAAATTTTGCAAATTATTTGTATATATATATATATCTTTCACGTAGTGTTCCAGCCTTGGATTATTTTTGAGCGAACGGATAATTCTTGTGTTCTGAATCTCGAAGAGAGGGAAAAAAAGGGGCGGGGGGAATCATTCGTCGAAATATAAAAAAGATTTGTGGAAAATTTCGAAATCGAATCGAAGCTAAATCTCGGCGATCTCGCGAACGATAGATAACGTTGCGTAAGATGGATCGCGTCGTTACGAAATTTATCTCGAGCCTTAAGGATGGAACAACGTGTAACAATTAAATATAAATTTTGGGTAGAAATCATAACGACACGATCGGATTCGTGCGCGTTTATGCGGCTTCGATCGAAGACATTGGGATTGTCATTGGAAATGCGGACATCAATGAGCTGGAAATCGCGTTCCGCTCGATCATCACGTAACGATATTACGTTCATATATAAACGTTATTATCGCTTTTCCAAACAAATTATTCACACGCAAGTGGATACACACAACTTGGAGAAATTCTTGTTTGATTATTCGAAGGAGGAATCGTTCACTCGGCTATTCGTATATTTTTCACTTTCTCACGTACATTATTACACGTTTAATCTCTTTTATTCCGGTTATTGTCAGCATTGGCCGCGATTTTCCTCGCGTGCGTTCGAAACGAGTATTTGTATATTACACACTTTTTATTTCTTATATTTTGATGACTCGAGACTTTTTTTCTTCTCTTTCTCTCTTCTTTTTTTTTTTTTTTTTTTTTAATCTTCCTTCCCTCGCGTTTACCATCGCAAATAGCCGTTCACGTAACCGTTTTTCCTGTTCAGCCTGTTCTTAATTTTCCCTCGATCCCAGAAATAGTCTCTTCTCGTCACGCCCTTAGATAACGAACCATACCTGAAAGCGAAAGATAATTCTCGTTTCAATTCGAAAGGGGAGCCAATCCCTCTGGGAAACAGTTTTTTTTTTTTTTTTTACAATTCTGCTTTGCATGCCGCACATTTTTCGCTTTTTTTCTTTTTTTGTCGAATATTGTGTCAAGATGTGAATTGAAATTGCATGTTAATCGTTAAGAAGGGAGGCGTTGTTCAAGATGATCGCTCTCCAACAGTTTCACCTCGAAAATAATCGTTAAAGAAAAAGAAGAAGAAGAAGAAGAAGTTTCGCACTTACGTCCGGTGCAGATTCCTGGACGCATTTGGCGAGATTGTATATCTTGTTGCAATTGTCGGAGCCGGCTACGGAGAAAGAAAAAGAAAAAGGAAATTTAAAAAAGAGAAAAACCTTCGAAGTGGAAGTTTCAGATCGATCGATATTTATAATACGATACGTACACGTTGGAAGACATTTGCCCATGATCGACTGAGCCCTTTCCTGAAGATGATCCGGCAACAGACCCAACATCATGTCCTCGTCCACGTTGGCATCGTCGTCCACCTTAAACGAAATTCCAATCCCTTTAGGGAATAGCCGCGACGACGATCGTCCCTGAAACTCACCAAGCTGAACGCCTCCAGCAGGCAATACATGTAGCAAGTGATGGACGGCTCGTTCACCAGGTTCCCTTTGTCCACGTCGTCGATTTGCGCTGCAGTTCAGACGCGGTCAAATTATTTTTTTTCACGAACGCGACTACTTTCTAATATTCGAAATATTCCTTCCATTCTTTAACCGCGTTATTGTTGTTGTTTCGCTGGAAATACACGCGCTACTGACCTTGCGTCGTTCCGTGCTCGCCCATGCACCGTGCCTTGTCCTCCGCCACCATGTCGAACACCTCGGGCGGCACCCAATCGGGCTAAAATAAATCCAATATTTCTCTCTTAAATAATTATCCTGTTGATTCCAGCCCGATCTCGACTCTCATCTTCTTTGAAAGATCACAGGAATTACAATTCTACGAGTCGAATCTTGTGCGCCAAAAAATATCGATACTACATTTGCAGAGAAAGATACGCGGCGAAAGAGATAAAAATTACCGCGAGAGACACGAAGAAAGATGGAGAAAACGCTGGCTTATAACCTACCACGGCGCGGTCAAATGACCGTTTTTGAAATTTCCTTTCGAATTTCTTGTACACGAAGTCACTGTATCGCCATATGACTTATCGACTTTTTCTACAATGTGGATACAACCCATTTTTCAGTATTCACAACTTTCTGTATTGTTTACTTTACGAATCCAATTAGCTAAAATCTCTTTCTGTATTAAGATACAAATGTTTGTTTTTTGCCCGCTCATGGTAGGAATAGGTATACATGAAATGTCGGTAGGTTAAACGGAGGCTTACCGCGGCGTTCACGAGAATGGTCTCGAGGCAGACGAGGAGGACGATGAAGGCTTGCTTCGCGCCACTATCCATGATCGCGCTATTTTTCAACTATTTTCCCCGAACGCTCGTTCACACGAGTTTTGCGAGTCGAATGGATGCCGCGACGTGGCGGTGTTTTTATAACTGCCTGCGGAGGGGGGGAGGAGTCCTTTCGATAATTGGTCGAGGAACACGGCTAATTTTCGGCCCCGTGACGGAAGTGCGCCGTCGTCTCGATCACGCGGCCGTGACCCTGAGCGCATCCTGTTTCTTCCGTGTTTTCCCTCTCCTCCTATCTTATCGATCCTTTTCGATAAACTTCGCGATAAACTTTCGTTGGATCAAGTCGGATTTTGGGAAAGGTTTGGTTTGTTTTAAGGTTTAACGAATGAATTCGATCGAAGGAGAGTTCAGTTTTAAATTTCGGTGCGCTAAAGACACTGCTTATTTTCTTTCATCAAGTTCGAACGAACGGGGTATCGAAAGTATTGGATTTTTGGAAATTTATTGATCTGAAAGTTGTAGGGGGAAAAAGGTGGGTGGAAATATGTAGGTATAATTTTCGTATCGATGTTTTTTTCACGGCATCGTAGAGGAAATGGAGAAACGTGAATCGGCAGATTCGCGATTACTGAAATTACAACATCCATTACGTTTCCTTCAATCACACGTTTGGAAAAAAACCATTTGTTGCTACTTGAGAATAATTATATCGAATTATAAGAGAATGACGGACTGCAAGAGCGCGATGCTCGGCCGAGTCCAAAGATACGTTTTTAACCTTCGTGAATCCGGGATCGTAATCTGGCATTAAATACCTATAATACGGCTCTACGTTCTTTTTATTGAAGCATATACATATATATATAAGTATATTGGACAAGAGTACAAATATATTACATCACGCTGCAATCGCAAATTTTAAAGAAGCTACGCTCTTAAAATATTCTGCCTCGTACAAAAACATCTTTCTTTATTCTTTGCACAAAGGACGCGTTACCAGACGTTCGCGTTCTTTCTATTTAATTCAAAGGAGAAATAGCTGGCACCTTAAAATCTTTTTTAAAATCAAGAATGAAATAATGGAAACTGGATAGAAACACACGCGATAAAGATAAAATTCTCTCGAACGGAAACTTCGTTTTCTTCCTTTTTTCCCAACTCTTAACATAAATAGCATCGAGGAAATTCGTCATTTTGCCACGATCACGCCGCACCTCTCGAATTTAATTACCGTTTCGACCGAGCACTTGGAAACGGTGTTCCAACAATTCCCCCTTCTCGCCGACCCTCTATCAATTTCACGGTTCAGAAGAGGAGGTCTCGAAGCTTGAGCGAAATTGGTCACGAGGAGTTGGAAAATTTCCGTTCGAACGTTTCGAAGCGGACAGAGGACGTTCGGACGAGCCGAAAATCTTGTTTACCAGCTTTGACTTTGCCTTTCGCTCGTGTAATTTGACACCAAATCGCGATCGACCGCCCGTCCGTTTCCTTCTCCGTGTTGCGCGCTAGAGCAAGCTTAGATATATCACTTATTCAGTGAACCAGCAAGGTCCGAGCCGGTGTAAGTTTTCCTGAAAAGCGGAACGATATCGAGCCGTCGAAATCTCTATCCTGGAATATTCCTCCGTGTTTATGGTAACTTGCGGAACCAAGTTGGATAATGAAACTCGTTAACATTTCTCGTTCTGCCATTAGACCGATTTTTAATGAATTCTCTGACCGCGCCTCGCTTTATCATGATTAATAGTTTCCTTCTCTACGTTACGTAATGTTTATTGGAATATATCGCCACGAGTAACTGTCGAGGGGAAAAGGTGCAGAGAAGCGGTTTAAAGCGAAAAGAAAAAAAAGAAAGCAAGTTTTTCACTTGTCCGCGTTATCACGATTAATAATAGTTTTAATAGTTTCGAAGCTTGCCTCGCAATATTTGCGATATCGCGATGATAGAAATTACAATGAGGGAGGGGAAGAAAATTCGTCGAATCGTAAATATTCTCGAGTCTGATTAAAATCCACGAATCAAATTTTATCTATTTATTTGCATAAACCGATCGATTTCCTTCCGTTTTCCAAACACAAAACAAAACAAAATGGAAAAAAAAGGAAAAACAGTAATTTAGAAAGTTTTTACGCAGTTAGGTTGCGTTATATCGCCGAAAAAATTCGCATCTCGGTTTTTTCCCCTAGGATTATCGGGCTACAATACTTGCCCGAATCGTTCGGATCGCAATCACGATCGATAATTCATACTCGTCGTATACTCGACGCGACGTTTTTCTTCGTTTGCAGAAGAAGCCGGTATTTGCGAGTTTAACGAAATTATACGTAACGAAGCCCGAGTATATACACATATTAGTCGGTTTAGCGGAGGGTGAAGCGTGCGTCGATGGATCCTCTCGTCCAACGATAATTGCATTTTTCATTTATCGTCGAGCGGAGAGAAGGAAAAGGGATGATGATGATGATGATGATGATTCGCCCGAACGACGAGAGCGTTGGCTCTGCATTTTCATCGGACGGATGGAAAAAACCAACGTTCCCCCGAGATTTCGAGGATGGATCGCGCGGAAACGTAAGAATTCGTCGTTCTCGTCGCATGCACGGTGAAGGAGAGGTGGTGGTCGATCGACTCGTTACGATTTCACGCAACGCGCAACAACGGCGGATCGATCGCGTGCTTCGACTCGCGTGAAATCTCCATCTCGTACGTTAATTAACCGTACCGTGCCGAATTCGATTCCGTGGCTATGGTCAAAGGAGGTTGTTCCGCTTCCGTGGTCGCGTGAAACTCGGTTTATATTTATAAATATATAGGAAGGAATTAAACATTTACGCGACACATCTCTCTCTCTCTCTCTCCTCTCTCTC